CCTTTGGGAGCAATAATGGAGAGACCAGGCTCCATTTTCCAATGCGCTGCAAATTAGCTATCTTAGAGGATAGCAGGGTGATGGGGAAATGTGCACACGTTGCAACCTAGTTAAGGAGTGAGGCAGGGGAGGCGACTGGAAGGAAGACTCCCTCAGCGTAATCACTGGACGAATTTGCGCATGTGCTCCTCTCAATGCTTTTCTTTTGGGGTTAGTATGAAACTGTGTAAATCTGGGGCTTGAGGGGTCTCAGGCTGGCTCATCAACACCACAAAAGCCATCATCACAGCTGGCCCCCTTGCTGAAAAGGCACTGAGAATAAATGACTCCCTTGCTCCTGGAGTTGGCCCACCAAGGGCAAGGTTGAGTTTGATGGGACCAATGACCGCAGCGGAAGGTGAACAAGGCGGGACTGGTGTTCTGTAAATCATTCTAGGACCTGCAGGCTGCGGTGATATTGCACTGACTATGAAGATATTACAGAACTGTTCCAGTGTTCTGCGAGTCTTGCTTGAAGGATGTTAAATAGACTCACCAGTGTGGGAGCTGTCTTGGGAAAACAGGCAGCTAGCAGCCATCCGTGTGTCCTAGTTGCTCTCTGAGGTTCTTTTAAAGCAGCATAATCACTAGGCTGCCGTTCAAGAGATCGCTCGACTCCTTCTGTTCCTTATACGATGATTTAAGTTAGCAGCGATTTGCAGCGCGTTCTAACACCCCTGCATTGTTCTCCGTACAAGGGGTTGGTTGGTGTATGTGGTACAGTAATAATTTGGAATGAAGGTTATACCAATATCTCAAGCAGATTCCCCTTCAAAGAGAGAGGAGCTGAAAACATTCTCCAGAGGATTGTGCAGCTGAGGCTGTAAGCAGGATGCCAATATTTTATTCTGAACTCAATGTAACGTTTCCAAAATTCATTGCCAACAGAGTTCTTGACCCTGGGAATGTTAAGCTTCTATAGCTGCTGGGCATGTTGCTAAAAAGTCAATACATGTTTTACAGTTTCATTGTAATTTCATGGCCCTGGCCATATCTGATGATCATTCTGTTTTCTTGGAATAAGGAGGAGAATAACCTGGATATCCATGTCCACCTGAAATGGATTCTGGCTTTTTTATGTATGTGCAATTGCCCATCTTCTTGCCTATCTAGCCAAGAGCATGTGCTGCTTCACTACTCGGTTTGTGTGCGCACATCCCATAGGGACATTCAAAAGTAGCGTGTGCTGAAAATCCGGTTCTTTCTGGGCAGCGCCCTGAACTGAATCTGATGAGAGGAAAGACCTTTCACTTTTCAAATCTGATCCAAAGTAAGAGATTAAAGAATCCCAAAGGAAACACTTATTGTATGATTTTTGAGCACAAATACACTCCAACTGAAGGTGTCCTGCTGTACAAGAAAAAGACACGAGGAGTGCCCAAGGCTTTTCTTTATGAGCAGGGTCACCACAGCTTGTAGGCAGCAAGATTAAAAAATAAAAAAAGTGGTGGTAGGGAGGACCAGGAGATAGAGTGGGAATGAAAGAAACCAAAAGCAGGTGATTAGGGATACAGCACGCAATCCACCCATAAATTTGCCTGGAGATAGATGAAAAAGCCACCACCAAATGACAGAAGCATTTGCAGCATTTTAATGGCCTACCCTTTCCTTCCTTTGCCTATTGCTTTACTTTTAATGGAAGGTGCTGTCTAAGATGCCAGAGGCCCCTTATAGAGCATCAATTATTTCTCCCATTTTTCCCCTTGCAATCAGAGCTCCCCTCTTTCCTCAGCATGCGTGTGAGACCCTCCATAAAGATGGGCTGATTTTATAGACTTAAAACAAACCAAACCAAAACCCTCTGGAAAAGTCCTATGCAGGGATATGTATAAATTAGATGTAGAAACCCAGATCTCTTCTGCCCATCTTTGATGGAGAGGAGGAACTGCAAATGTACATTGTGTTTAGGGCAGTACAAGAGGGTACAGTCTGTGAGTACTGGGATGGAATTAACCATAGGAACATTTAGGCTAATAAAACCCATGCTAGTGTGTGTCTCTCTTCTGTGCTATTGATTAGATTGTGGATTAGTCTCCCAACGGAAGCAGTAGGAGCCTCCTGGTTTATGACATTTAAAACTGGACAAAGCACTAGAGGACGTGATATAGGGAACAATTCTGCATTGGCCAGTGGGTAACATAATAAGGTGCTTTTCTAGTTGCTTAGATTCTAGGGAGGTTGCTAATGTAGAAGGTAAGAGATTTCCTGGTAGATGTAGAAAAAAGCAGGGGACAATCATAGTGTCTTGGCTAATGTCCATTCAATTAATAAAACAGATGGTAATGGACAGGGCTGCATCTGAGGGATGGCGGAGCACATAACAGCGTAGAGATACCAAGAATGATAGCGCCTTTGAAATGCCTAAGTTGGACAGATAGCTTGGGACTCTCGGCATTGGAGTGGGAGGTCTACCGTGGACTGCTATGGGAACAGCATAGGTAGGCAAACATGAGTGCTTTGGAAAATCCCACTCATACAGGCTGCTATATAATGCTATATAATGACTGCACTATCAAATTCAGTGGGTTGAGAAGTGCCTTGGACTACCCTGGCATATGAAACATATTTCTGTCTGTCAATTCTGTTCTGCTACATAGATACCAGGCTACATGTTTAATACAAAGATGGGCCCAAACCAAAAGACTGTCCCTATAGAGGTGCAGGCCGGATCACTACATCCAAACACCTGCAAACTTTGGGGAAGTTGATTCTGATGTGATTTGGAGTCAATCCTTCTCTGCATTAAAAGGAAATAGTTTCTGTATGTGCTGGTGATTTAAAACCAATATTAGTTACATTAAAAAATGAAACAAAAAAAAAGGTGTTCAAGGGTTAAATGAAAAATATGCCTTTAAAAAAGAGATTCACTCGGTGTTAATAAGCACCAACTGAACTGTCACTTGTGTTACCATCTGGCATAGTGCACCAGGGCCTAGAGGAGTACCGGAAATGTTACACTGCCCTTGTCCTATGACAGGATCTCTGCTTATGGTGACTAAACCATCAGCAACTCCTAAATGACAACAGATCTGAAAATGCAAAATACTTCATTGGGTTAGCTGTTTTAAACTAAAGATAATGTTGAATTTGAAGAAACAACTCTCCAGCCACAACAAAATCCTCAGCCGGTATTATGGGAGAGTGGTGCAGATTTTATCTGGCTAGAGTAGCTGCGGTGGGGACAAATGAATAGAAAGAGTGAAGGCCTTTAAAGCTACTAGTTTCCTTCACTGGTGACTGATGTGCATGAGCGTGCCTTGCTGACCTAGATCTTCCAACTTTTAGCCGAGTAGTTCCATCTTCTTCAAGGGGGTACTCCTGTGTATAAGGGTTGCAGGATCAGTCCTTAATTCTTCTGTTCCTTCCAATCTTTAGTTCCTCCTTCTGTCTCTTTCACACTCTGGAGATTTTCAAAGTACTGCAAAGGAGTTAGTCACACATCTTCCATTGAAATTAATTCTGATTGGCTGTGATTGTAATACAATCATTGCTGAAAATATAGCACAGAAATTTCCAATCTGTTGCCGGTCCACAGACCACTAGCTGATGGACTCTGCAGAGCATGCTGGTCATCTGGTGTGGGCTACTCCCCCTTAATTCCAGCTGCTAAATAGCATTAAAAGAAGATTGAAAATACAGAAATACTTTCCTACTGTTACTTTTCCTGGAGGATATATATATATATTGGCCAGCACAGCCGTAATCAGGGAAACATGAAAATCTGTGTTGGCAAAAATGGCTATGTTTTATTGTTAGAGTGAATAATTAAACAGATTAAATGTGAATATCCATACAATAGATATTTAGAATTGGCACAATGTTAGGAACATCAGCTATTTATAGCTTCATAGGCCTGGAAGAGACCTCCAGGTCATCTAGTCCAGTCCCCTGCATTCATTCTGGAGTACAAAATAATTGCATCTTGATCTGAGGTTGCTGGGTCATGACATCACAACATTTGCATGTTCCCATCTTGACATGGGAACATGTGCCTGATCACATTGCATCATCATGCCGTGATGCAACATAGTGAGATCAGTTGCAATCCCAGTGTTTTGGTGTGAAGTTCTGCTCTATACTGAAGAATGTCTGATCTCAGGCTTTATCACAGAAGCTAAACAACCCAAACAGCATCGCTGATTAAGTTACAAAATAAAGTTGTTTTAGTATCAATCGTTAGGTAGAAGCGGACAGATTTAGTGTTGGATGGATAACAATTAAAGCTGGGTCCAAATCAAAATGCATCAAACTCTGGGAAATTCATATCTGGACGTAGGTCCAGATCAGAAGTTTGTTGGTGGCCCTTCTATCGTCAGAATGAGGTGAACCAAGACCCTAGACTCAAACACTTGTGATCTTTGTGACCACTTGGATCTGATTCCTAACTGTGCACCTTGAGCTCATTGTTAAGAATAATACCAATAACACAAGGAAACCAACACCACTGTAACAGCAAAGAGTTCACCTATTTTTACTATAATCTGTCTGTCTCTGAATTTCTGGGAGGCCTATCTCCATAATGAGTTCTGTTAGGGAGGTGGAAATTGAATCAACTACATTGTGCAACAATTTGTCCTATTAAGCAGGTAAACAAAGTGTCCTATTATCTATCAGACAGTCCAGAAGTCAACTATCCACATGAGCGGATCCACTAGATCAGTGTATAGAGCAAACTACTTGGAGACATTCCCTTTATAACATCCAGATCAAGCACTGGGATGAACTATTCTGGGCAAAGAGACTAACTCCGGTTGGATCAGAATTAGACTGTATTGGAGTTCTGCATGATACTTTGATAGCTTGGAACACAACACTCACCCCAATCTTTAAACATCTCCAGTAGAGTCATTGCCAAGACATACCTGAGCATTTTAAAGGACACTTCAGACCAAAGTTTAATGAGCCCAAATGCAACATTTCCCCTCCTCCTGATATAATAACCTATGGAATGGGATACTCACTATTGGGCAGAGTCATTAAGTTGATATTCCCGGGACCGGTTGAAGCACTCCTGGATTCCAGAATCTGCCCAGAGTCTCATCATAGCTGACAGCAGCTCTGGGGAGAAGGGCTCTGTGTCCTCCATTCGACTTACTACATCACAGACCATCTTAGCATCAGCCTAGAGAGGAAAGAAGCAACAGGTCACATGAGTTGCTGAGATGTATTCTGGAACTGGAGAATTGTCCTCTCCTTCTTGAGACTCCTAAATAATTGAGAGAGTCCTCAGCTTTAGAGCCCACAAGTTTGAGTCATGTTTTAGGATTCATAGCAGAGCCATCCAGTAGAGTAGCCAGAATTAAGGCCAGAATGAGGATGTGTCAAAGAAGCCATTAGGAAGCGATGGTCTCCTAGTACATATTTGCACAATCCACATTATATAAAGTTATGGTAGTGAAATATGTCCAATTAGCAAATGGACCAATATGTATAATGTATGTACATCTCATGGGCTATTCAGCAACACAAATAACCCAGATACAGTGCAGTTACGTATGTATGTAAATTACCAGTAAAGGGAGGTATGGGCTGGGCCAAATTCTTTTAGTCATGTGTCACCCCACCGAAGTAAAGAGGATTATCGTATGATCAGATAAGTAGAATACAGCCTATTAGACTATTTCAGATTTGTCTACTACTACTTCCTCTTTCCCATGATTTCACACCAGCATACGATGACATTATTGAGAATTCATAATAATAATTACATGCTGCAGATGTACATGGTGCAACACAATTTGGATGAAGATAGATACACTGTAAATTCATCATGACAGGATATCACAGGATGACCACAAACAAGAGGAGACAACTGCATAGGGAGGGGGAAGAGAGGGGAAGTTACATATGAAACATTTATTTCAACCCAAAACTAAATTTTTGGGGGGTTTTTCAGTGAGAAAAATATCATTTCTGGATTGATTTGAAATTTAATATTTTTTTCCGATTTATTTGGTTCAGCCACCCAACTGAAAAATCAACTATTTGCTCTGCTCTAAGATTCTAGTATCACTTTCTTTTTTATGGCTGTTAAGTGTTGTCCAAAGATCATTTGGAACTCATCATGGACAATATATTCCTAAAAGCATTAATAAAAATGTAATTAGTGTCAGCTGGTGTAAAACACCAAAAAGCTTTGCTAGGATAACAAATTGCATGGTTTCAAGAACTGGTTCATATCTGCCAAATCAGAATCCTCTGCTCACAAACTGATTTCAATAGGGCTTCCCTATGATCTAGTTTCATGTATTTTTATTGATTTCCCTTCCCTATTTTCATAACAGGCAATTTTTCTTTCTTTTTCTAAAGAAAAAGGATTTGGGTGACTTTGGCATTTATGAAAGTGAGAGATTAGCAGCCCACGCTCAGGCCCTGCGTAGTGTAGGCACTCAGCCATCTTCTCAGACAGAGTCCTGACAACACACTTTGCTCTCCATCTGCAACTCCCACCCTAGTCATGGGCTTCCACATTGCACCTCAGTCTTGACCTGCCACCCTTGTCCTCTATTCCAGTCCAGCATCCTACTTGCACCCTTCATGCCTAGCCCATCAGACCCTGTGCTGTCACAATCCTAGATGTTGCACAGTGAGGGAATGCTGGACACTAGTGTCACGGATGAGCAATCACAAGGGATTTTCAGCCACATTCTGGTCTCATTTACACCAGTGAAAATCTGGAGCAACTGCATTTACTTCAGTGGAGGGTTTTTTCATATTGGTGTAGCCTGGATTAGAATGTGGAACCTGGAATTTGAACTCATCTTTCTAGAGGTGTGACTAGTTAATATGTTATCTCATGGCATCAGTCCAGTTCCCCAGGAAGTTTTTCTTATGGTTTTGGCACCCAGAGGAATTTTCTGCAAGTAGGAAATGTCATCTGCATTTGGACAATTCCAAGTGAATGAATGCATTTCGCATGTAATTCATGCTTGTGCAGAGAGCCAGAACTGGCCGTATGCAGCACTCAAAATAAGGCCTAAGTGGGATTTAAATAGTTAATAGGCTTTGCGCTGGCCCTCTGCATTTTTGGACAGCTGTAAATGGGTCACGTTGCAGCCCACTGTGCTGAGAACAACATGCAGTAGCTGAAGGATATTTTGGAAAGTTTTGCTCTTGGTGACTAGATTGCTGAACGTTAATACACCGAAACACAAACAATTACAGCGAGAGCTAGTTCCGCACAGCTCTGCTGAGAAAGCTGTTCATTAGAATATATAATTAATTTCTTGATGTGGTCTCTGGTCTCGGTGAACCTGTTGAGTGACCTTCGCTTGTAATGCTTTGCCTCAAGTGCTTAAACTGGCCCCAGGGAGAGAGTCCAGTGCATCAGCTGCACGGTATTTGGTTATTCCCAACACAGCTGCTGCATTAGCTGAGCTTCAGACACTGAGCATCCAAGCAGCTGGCAGAGAAGAATAACAGGATAAGGCATCTCGCAGTCAGTGATAAAGTGAGACAAGTCGCTAGGGGAAATTGATAGGAGGGGCAAGACTTCACTGCAGAGAAGTGTGGAGTCCTCAGGGCAGCTTGGCTACTAGCAGATGCAGGGCCACATCCACAGCTGGGGTAAATTGTTGTAGCTCCATTGAAGTCAATGGAATGCCGACAATTTACACAAGAGGAGGATCTGGTCTGAGGACTTTACAATGTAATTCAAAGGGGGAAGCAAGTCATAGCCCCTTACTGCCTGTCAGGGGTCAGGACACTCTCCTACCTGTCAGCCTTTTCTTTTCTTCCATGTCATCAGACAAAAAAGAAACACAGGGGAGGGAATTATTTTTGATTGATTATTTTTGAAAATGATTTTTAAGAGCAGGTTAGACAAACACCTGTCAGGAATTGTCTAAATAATAACTAGTCCTGCCATGAGTGCAGGGGACTGGACTAGATGATCTCTTGAGGTCCCTTCCAGTCCTATGATTCTATGATTCTAAACTCTCTGGACCGAAATCTGTCCCTAGGTAACTGCAGGGACTTCAGGGGAGTTACACAAGTTGTGAACCTGACCCTCCTCGTTCAAATATTGCCTGATTAAATGCCCAAAAGATAGAAAATTCCAAATTGTGCCTTTGTTGCCAGCGTTAATTCACTATGCTCGCACCTAACGGTTTTCGTGTTCTCAGAACGGTGAGAAGCTTTGCAAATCGTGCAGGATGAATTGTGCAGGCACAGCTGAATTTAGGATGAGTGTGAAGCCTGTCAAGGGGTGTGTGGGGTGCTTTACAATCCTCCTGAGTTCCATGACATCTCCAGCCAGCTGGGCTGGGGTCATCCAGGTAGCACCAAGCCCCAAATCTGTTCGATTCCAAACTCCTGCAAACTTGGCAATGAAACCCAAACTTTAGACCTTAGTTCTATCTGGGTGACACCGACCCTACCGTGCAGTGGGAGCTGACAGATTATTTATCACGTCAGAAAGGGGAACTATGCAAAATTTCAGAACGGGAAACGATGCAAAAATGAGGAGGTTAGTTAAACAGAAATTAAAAGGTACAGTGACTAGAGTGAAATCCCTGCAAGCTGCATGGATGCTTTTCAAAGACACTATAATAGAGGCTCAACTTAAATGTATGCCCCAAATTAAAAAACACAGTAAAAGAACTAAAAAAGAGCCACCGTGACTTAACAACTATGTAAAAGAAGCAGTGAGAGATAAAAAGGCATCTTTTAAAAAGTGGAAGTCAAATCCCAGTGAGGTAAATAGAAAGGAGCATAAACACTGCCAAATTAAACGTAGAAATGTAATAAGAAAAGCCAAAAAGGAGTTTGAAAAACAGCTAGCCAAAAACTCAAAAGGTAATAACAAAATGTTTTTTAAGTATATCAGGAGCAGGAAGCCTGCTAAACTACCAGTGGGGTCCCTAGACGATCGAGATACAAAAGGAGCACTTAAAGACGATAAAGTCATCACAGAGAAACTAAATGAATTCTCTGCTTCCGTCTTCACGGCTGAGGATGTTAGGGAGGTTCCCAAACCTGAGCCGTCTTTTGTAGGTGAAAAATCTGAGAAATTGTCACAGGTTGAAGTGTCAATAGAGGAAGTTTTGGAATTAATTGAGAAACTTAACAGTAACAAGTCACCAGATGGCATTCACCCAAGAGTTCTGAAAGAACTCAAACGTGAAACTGCAGAACTATTAACTATGGTTTGTAACCTGTCCTTTAAATCAGGTACTGTACCCAATGACTGGAAGATAGCTAATGTAATGCCAATATTTAAGAAGGGCTCTAGAGGTGATCCTGGCAATTACAGATTGGTAAGTCTAACGACAGTACTGGGCAAATTTAGTTGAAACAATAGTAAACAATAAAATTGTAAGACACATAGAACATAAATTGTTGTGCAAAAGTCAACATGGTTTCTGTAAAGGGAGATCATGTCTTACTAATCTATTAGAGTTCTTTGAGGGGGTCAACAAACGTGGACAAGGGGGATCCAGTGGACATAGTGTACTTAGATTTCCAGAAAGCCTTTCACAAGGTCCCTCACCAAAGGCTCTTAGGTAAGTTAAGTTGTCATGGGATAAGAGGGAAGATCCTTTCATGGATTAAGAACTGGTTAAAAGACAGGGACCAAAAGGTAGGAATAAATGGTAAATTTTCAGAATGGAGAGAGGTAACTAGTGGTGTTCCCCAAGGGTCAGTCCTAGGACCAATCCTATTCAACTTATTCATAAATGATCTGGAGAAAGGGGTAAACAGTGAGGTGGCAAAGTTTGATACTAAACTGGTCAAGATAATTAAGACCAAAGCAAACTGTGAAGAACTTCAAAAAGATCTCACAAAACTAAGTGATTGGGCAATAAAATGGCAAATGAAATTTAATGTGAATAAATGTAAAGTAATACACACTGGAAAAAATAACCCCAACTATACATACAATATGATGGGGGCTAATTTAGCTACAACTAATCAGGAGAAAGATCTTGGAGTCATCATGGATAGTTCTCTGAAGACGTCCGTGCAGTGGTAGTCAAAACAGCAAACGGGATGTTAGAAATAATTAAAAAGGGGATAGAAAATAAGACAGAGAATATCTTATTGCCCTTATATAAATCCATGGTACACCCGCATCTTGAATACTGTGTACAGATGTGGTCCCCTCATCCAAAAAAGATATAC